TTTTTTTTTTTTTTAGCTAAAATGATAGCCTTTGATGTATCTAACAAGTAATTGGACAAAACTGGCAAATCTCATTTACAGATTCTCAGAGGTTCATGGAAGAGTTTGTGTAAAGTAAAGAATGTCTGGGCTTCAGGTACATCATCAGGAAACACCTGACTGGCGTTCAGCTCATCTTAAAATTGATGCAAAACATTAAAAGTAAGATGGCATTTTATGATTTGAAATATGTCTCTCTTTTCTGTTAGTTGATCAGATGTTTTGGGAAGTTATGCAGTTGAGGAAAGAGATGTCATTGGCAAAACTGGGATATTTCAAAGAGGAACTGTGACGCTCCGCGTGGGACCACGTATGAACCTCCGTGAACAACTGAGAAATAGCTGAATATTTTTATGGTTACCGGATATTTATTTCCAAGGAGTGGGCCCAAGCAAGACTTTCTCCCCTTTTTGCAAATCACTCTAAGAAGCACCGAGATTTCTTTTCAAATGACTTACACCGTCTGCTTACTCTTTAGTTGAACACACTATGAAGAATTACAGGTGTACTAGTGACTGTCATTTATAGGTGAAAAAAGAGAACAAAATAAATAGATGCTAGACTGAATGTGTGTGTCTGTTTTCTCTCCTCGCTCTGACCTGGCATTCAGGGTCAGCAGAATGTATTAAATAGTAATGTTCAGATTGCACAGCAGCTGCCTTGTGAGAGGCAAGGAAGAAGGCTGAGTGGGCAGGACTCCCTCTCCCTGCTCACCACCACTGGGATGGTTCTAGTTTTCTCCGATTTACATGTTAGATTGTAAACAAGATTTTATTTCAAGACAGACTTCTGCTAAAATGTTTGAAAGTTACTGTTTTAATCATCGTGCTCTGTGTAATTTAAAGAATCACTTTATTATGGTGATTTATAAACTATAATAGATATGAGGTGGTCATAGTTTATCCCCGAGAGGTGTCCTTGAGCATCTTCTTGTGATGTATTCATGTTCTCCATGTGCTGAGCACTGCAGTGACGTGGGAGTGGTATAAAGATAAGTCAGTTTGATTTGTGTCAAGGAGTTTTAAGAGGATGTGAAAGACTGGGATACACACACCTGCTGGCAGAACCACGTGATCTGTAAGTTCCAGGTTGTAAACTAACTTCATGAGGGAGAAACTGTTTATTAAAATTATTTATAAAAACAAAGAGGTTCATGGTAGAAATATAATTAAGTATAGAAAAGCAAAAAGAAGAAATGAGAAACCACTTCATCATCTCCATCTAGAGAAAGCTACTGTTAATATTTTTAGAGGATACCATTCAGCTTTCAGATATTTTTCTACCTGTATATGCATATTTTTGAAACAAAAAGTAGACTTTCTTGCTTTTTAAAATAATTTTTCCCTACTGATAAATCTGTACATCCTAATCACTGTGTGATGATTATAGAATTTTAACATAATTTAGCTAATTGTGTTTGGAGATTGGGTCATTTCCAGTTTTTTTATTATGATGCTGTGATGAGCATCTCTCTGTGCATGTCTTTGAGCATTGCTGGTTAATTTCCTGAAAGTAAAACTGTTGAGTCGAGTATGTGTACACTTACTGATGTTTGGTCTACATTGCTAATTTGCTGTCTGTAAAACTTGGACCAACTTATATTCACAGCAGCAGTGTAGGAGAGAGCTGGTTTTCTGAAGATGACTTTTCCCCAGTGCTGTTCAGAGATTTGGTTAACATCACCTGTACGAGACTCAGCTCTGAGGCAGGAGGGGAGCCCTCAGACAAAAGGACATCCGAGTGTGATATGGTAAAAACCATCATTACTATGCCCAGCTCAAGAATCCAAAATCAAACATGCAAAAAAGTTTAAATCTAGAATTTTATGTTCTAATAAAGTTATCCTAATGTGAGAGCATGGTGAAAATATTCTCACTCAGGCATCAGAAGATTTTCCTCACAAATTAAAAACACTTTTAGAGAAAGTACTTAGAAGTAAAATAAATCCCAGACCTAACTGAGATTTGAAAAAAGATGTCCAGATACATCGGGAAAGTTTGTTGAAGACTTAAAAAGAGTTAAAATTAAAACTAAAGAAAATAAAGAGTGTATATCCGTAATAATCCAGAACTGAAATTCTTTATGGTGGCAGTAGGCAGAGAGCAGAGAGCATGAGGGTGTATTAGAGTTCTTATTTTGTTAGACGGAAATTAGAGGTATTGATTAAAAGTGAGAAAAAATTAGAAAAAGGGAGTGACCAAATAATGACCAGGTATAAAATAGTGTGATGTGGAAGTAAAAGGTAAAGTAGGGTAACATGAAGAGACAGTCAGTTGGATTAAAAGTCTGTTCATACATAAAGTCACAGAAAGTGGGAAATGAAAGAAGGAAAAGAGATGCCAGCAAAACACCAGAAGAAAACTAGGGTGGAGTAAGACAAAAAACTTCAGGGATTGAGGTGGGGACCGCATAATGCTAAACGTTGGAGTCAGTAACTAAACATAATTAAAAATTGAAGATAATGAAAACAATACAAAGGAATTTAAAAATTCTAAGGGCTGATATAATAATATTAAAACTTACAGGCTGCAAAGAAAGTTGTGCTTCAAGGTAATATTGTCTAACTTTTAAGTCATTTACATTTTTTCTTTTAAGAAAAAAAATGTCACCCTGGGTAGAATGGTGTCACAGCTCACAGCAACCTTCAACTCTTGGGCTCCGGTGATTCTCTTGCCTCAGCCTCCCTAGTAGCTGGGACTACAGGTGCCTGCCACAATGCCCAGCTATTTTTTTTAAGCTATGTGTCCCAGGCACAGAAGAGTAATAAAATACAATAAAGGTAAAGTTAAGGAAGGAGGTAAGAAACTATGAAGCTCTTAGCTGACTTGTTGGAAAGATTATCTGGCAAACTTAGAAAAAAATGCACGGGAGTGCTCAGTATTTGGAATGAAAATGGGTATGTCATTACAGATGCCATAGATACTACACAGATAAAAAAAAAAAAAAAGAGCAGCGCCTTGGCTCAGTGGGTAGGGTGCCAGCCCCATATACCAAAAGTGGGGAGTTCAAGCCCAGCCCCAGCCAAACCACAACAAAAAAATAGCCGGGCGTTGTGGTGGGCGCCTGTAGTCCCAGCTACTCGGGAGGCTGAGGCAAGAGAATCGCCTAAGCCCAGGAGCTGGAGTTGCTGTGAGCTGTGTGATGCCACGGCACTCTACCAAGGGTGATAAAGTGAGACTGTCTCTACAAAAACAAAAAAGTAAACAGATAAAAAGAATATTATAAATAGCATGCTAACAAGCTTGAAAATTTAGGAAAGTGAGAATTCCTAGAAAAAGTTAGATTAATAAGGAACCAGAAGCCTGACCAGTACTGTTTATTATTATGTTAAAAAATTTTCCCATAAAGGAAAAGCTAGCCTTAGATGGTTTTACCAAATATTAATGAATTGGGTATTCTAATATATAAATTTTTCAAAAGAATAGTGTAAGAAATCTCCCAAATCAGCACATACGATAATATAATATAATAACCTTGATTGTAAAACCAGATAGGGGCAATGCCAGAAAGGAGAATGGTGGGTCTGTTCTACTGAATCTCACACACTGGCCGAGTGGTGTTTACTCCAGGAATGCAAAGATGGTATGTGAGAAAATTCATAAATCTCATTCACTACATTTGTAGAATAAAAGTGAAAGGTCCTCTGATCAATAGATACAAACATTGATAAAATCAATACCCATTAATAATAACTCTTACTAATCTGTAAGTGGAAGGAAATTTACCAAAATGCTGTAATAATCAGTGTCCTCTCGGGGAGAAGCCTTGGAAGCCTCCTCTTTAACATCAGAGAGACAAACCCTCAGAGCAGAATCTCTGTTTAGTTCTCTGGAAGAGGATTGAAACACAGACACTTCTTTAAAAATGGCAGTGGTATCAGAATTCCTCAAGCAGGCCTGGTTCATTGAAAATGAAGAGCGGCAGTACCTTAATACTGTGAAGTCATCCAAAGGTGGTCCTGGGTCGGCGGTGAGCCCCTATCCTTCCTTCGATCCATCTGCAGATGTTGCAGCCATCCACCAAGCCCCGATGGTTTAAGGTGTAGATGAAGGGACCATCATTGACATACTAACTAAGAGAACCAATGCTCAGCGTCAGCAGATCAAAGCGGCATATCTCCAGGAGAAGGGAAAGCCCCTGGATGACATGCTGAAGAAGGCCCTTACGGGCCACCTGGAGGAAGTTGCTTTAGCACTGCTAAAAACCCCAGCACAGTTCGATGCTGATGAACTCCGTGCTGCCATGAAGGGCCTTGGAACTGATGAAGACACTCTGATTGAAATATTGACATCAAGAAGTAACAAAGAAATCAGAGAAATTAACAGAGTCTACAGAGACAAACTGAAAAGAGATCTGGCCAAAGATATAACCTCAGACACATCTGGAGATTTCCGGAATGCTTTGCTTTCTCTTGCTAAGGGTGACTGAAGTGAGGATTTTGGTGTGAATGAAGACTTGGCTGATACGGATGCCCGGGCCTTATATGAAGCAGGAGAAAAAAGAAAGGGGACAGAGGCCAATGTGTTCATTACCATTCTTACCACCAGGAGCTACCCCTATCTTCGCAGAGTGTTTCAGAAATATACCAAGTACAGTAAGCATGACATGAACAAGGCTCTGGACCTGGAGATGAAAGGTAACATTGAGAAATGCCTCACAGCCATTGTGAAGTGTGCTACCAGCAAACCAGCTTTCTTTGCCGAGAAGCTCCGTCATGCCATGAAGGGTGTTGGAACTTGTCATAAGGAATTAATCAGGATTATGGTTTCCTGTTCTGAAGTTGACATGAATGATATCAAGGCATTCTATCAGAAGATGTGTGGCGTCTCTCTTTGCCAAGCCATCGTGGATAAAACCAAGGGAGATTATGAAAAAATCTTGGTGTCTCTTTGTGGAGGAAACTAAACATTCCTTTCATGGTCTCAAGCATTATGGTCAGAAGATATTTTAATTATTTTAGTTATATCTCTTCTTTCTATCACATAGGCTTCAGAAGAAAGTTTCTTCAGGAGGATTACAGTGTAGCTACCTG